CAGTGCGGTGGGAGGGAGAGGGGCGGTCAGGGAGAGGTCCCCTCCCCGAGTTCCTGCCGGTGGGGGATTTCGGCAGCCTCTAATTAGGGCCGGAAAACCATCCTTGGTTAATTAAAGCCTTCGTGCCGTCGGAGCGTTGAGGGGTCGGGGACGGATCTGCCCGGTTGGCTTCGTCCGGGGACCCTCGCCCGCCTCGTTGCGCAGCTTGTGCTAATTACAGCTAATTACCCCTCGGGATGCCCGTGTCACCTTCCAGCCCCCGGATCCCGCCGGGATCCTCGGGAATCCCGCCGGGAGGGGCGGGGGGGTTGTGGTTACCCCGCCGTGAGGGGGCAGTTTCGGGGTCTGTGCCCCGGCAGGACCCCAGAGCCGGTGCCAGGGCGGCAGAGCCGGTGCCAGGACCCCAGAGCCGGTGCCAGGGTGGCAGAGCCGGTGCCAGGACCCCAGAGCCGGTGCCAGGGCGGCAGATCGAGCGTCCCTGCTGGGGATGGGTCACGGATTCCGATGACCGGGACGAGCCGAGGCCTCGGGGCTGTTCCAGCATCGACCCGGCATCGACGGCCTGCTGGGGGCTTGGCTTGGCTCCGCTCCTCTGGGCAGCAATTCCGACTGTATCCCGGCTTTCCTGAGCCACTGCGGAGCCTGGATCCGTGTGGGGAGCTTGGATCCGTGTGGGGAGCTTGGATTTGTGTGGGGAGCCTGGATCCATATTGGGATCCTGGATCCATGTTGGGATCCTGGATCCATGTTGGGATCCTGGATCCATGTTGGGATCCTGGATCCATGTTGGGATCCTGGATCCATGTGGGGAGCCTGGATCCATATTGGGAGCCTGGATCCGTGTGGGGAGCCTGGATCCGTGTGGGGAGCCTGGATCCGTGTGGGGAGCCTGGATCCATATTGGGATCCTGGATCCATGTTGGGAGCCTGGATCCATGTTGGGATCCTGGATCCATGTTGGGATCCTGGATCCATGTTGGGATCCTGGATCCATGTTGGGATCCTGGATCCATGTGGGGAGCCTGGATCCATATTGGGAGCCTGGATCCGTGTGGGGAGCCTGGATCCGTGTGGGGAGCCTGGATCCATGTGGGGAGCCTGGATCTGTGTTGGGATCCTGGATCCATGTTGGGATCCTGGATCCATGTGGGGATCCTGGATCCATGTTGGGATCCTGGATCCGTGTGGGGAGCTTGGATCCATGTGGGGAGCCTGGATCCATGTGGGGAACCTGGATCCATGTTGGGATCCTGGATCTGTGTGGGGAGCCTGGATCCGTGTGGGGAGCCTGGATCCATATGGGGATCCTGAATCCATGTGGGGAACCTGGATCCATGTTGGGATCCTGGATCCATGTTGGGATCCTGGATCCATATTGGGATACTGGATCCATATTGGGATCCTGGATCCATACTGGGACACTGGATCCGTATTGGGATCCTGGATCCATACTGGGGACCTGGATCCATGTGGGGAACCTGGATCCGTGTGGGGAGCCCGGATCCGTTCAGGAACCCAGATCTGCGGCCCCATTTTGGTGGTTTTTAGCCCCAAAACTCGCGCCTACCCAGGAGGAGGATCCCGAGAACGGGGTTAAGGAGTGTCCCACAAACCCTGCAGGGAAGCAGGATCGGGAGTGGGGTTAAGGAGTGTCCCACAAACCCTGCCAGCCCCGGCCCCGGGGGACAATGGAGCCCTTGTGGGCCGGGGGTGGGGACGATCCCGGCGGATCCCGACCTCAATGGGGCTTTATGAGCCCTCGGGACCGGGGGTGGCCGCGGCCAGGAACCCTCATCCCCATCTTGGGGAGCGCCTTTTCCCGGGATTTTGGGTGGCAGGTGCCACGGGTGGGGTTTGCTGGGGCAGGGAGAC